GGGGGTGGATGACGTAGTTCCTTCAATTTATCGTTGAATTATTCGTGGGTCAGTCATGTTGTAGGGGGATGCCAGCGTCAATGAGCCAAATGTTTGAGCCCCGAACATGTTCTCCTCAAATAGAATAAAACCAAAGAGTGGGAATTCCCGACACAGCCTACCTTTTTCAAAAATAAGGAACGATTGCAAACTTGTTTAGCCCCCATCTATAGAAGTTAGATAAGTCAGGAGATAGACTGCTTCAACGTTGCCTGTCAGGTCCAATCCGAGCTGAATGCCAGACGCCATCCCCTCCCAGGAATCGAATTAACTTCTTTAGCGAGCAAAAGAAGAAATCCTCCCTCTTACGTCATGGTCGCTGTTTCCGAACTAGGCATACTCGTGCGGGTGGTTGGAGGGTGCTACTAACTGGAAGGTCCCACTTCTTTTCCATTCCTGTATTGTTTCTCTGTATTTTCTTGATTTTTCCCTGCATGAAATGGCCATTGTTGTTTGTATGTGCTTCTTTTTATTAAAAAAGCAAACAAACGCCACAACTCTCCCATAGATTCCTTGGGCAGATGAATCATGCTTGATATAATATTATCAAGGCCGTAGTCCAGCATGAAAAATACTGAGCTGTCGGCATGTGGTGTAACCTTTGTCTCTTTGCTTATTCTTTCTACAGATGCCGTTGTTTATTGTGATCAGCGTGATTTTCACAGCAGTGACATATTGGATGATGGGTAGGTTGGTTTGATAATCACTACCTTAGAATTACAAAGTTCTATCGGACATTTTTGGTGGTTTTGAGTTACTAAAACCATAGGGTCAGAGACCAAATATATTGTTCTATCTCATCTATCAAAATCGTAAGATTATTCGGAGTCTTTATCTAGATATTCAAAGAATTGCATTCGAAAAGGCTTGACATGTTTTAAAACCCAATTATTTTTACGTCACATTTCCTCACAATTAGGAACTGAGCACATAGGACTTTGTATTAATTGTGTAATTATAACGTAGCGTAATGGTGAAATAAGGACTGGAATGGTGTACGTGGTATAGTGTATGTATACATGTATTATGTTTGTGCCAGTGTGTGGGTGGGGGAGGTTATGTTTGTAGGTGTGTTTTTACGTGCAATGATGTAACTGTGTGTAATCGTGTGTGTGCTAACAGTATGTCTGTGAATGTGTCTGTCTGTCTGTCTGTCTGTCTGTCTGTCTGTCTGTCTGTCTGTCTGTCTGTCTGTCTGTACTAACATAGTGTCTATGTGCGTTGGTATGTGCGCTTGTTTATGTGTGCGTGTGTGTGTGTGTGTGTGCGTGTGTGTGTGTGTGTGTGTGTGTGTGTGTGTGTGGGTGTATTTTCTATTGAAGTAGTTTAAAACCTTCTTGTTTTGGGGGGGGGGGGGTTACTAATTGTTAATCTTTTCGAATAACAATGTCTTTCAAAATGTCACACTATTTTCATCCACCTTATGTCTGCCAGAGGATGATAAACCATAAGAATTTCTTCCATCTACAGGTCTTCATGAGACCCTTAACGCTTTTCTGGTGGCCACTGCAGTCCTTCTGCTCACAGCTAACATAGCCGTATCCTTAGGTGAGTGAACCTAACTTCGCTCTTGTGTTTGTGGTGTTTACGGAAAGAGGAAAAGAGGGGGAGGGATATTTTCTTAATTAAGCTTTCAGATGACTTCAATGTTACAGAAAAAGACAGAGCTGACACGGAAATTAGAATTTTAATCTGCGAATAGATGTTGCTTCTGTTTTTATCAGTGAGATCATTAGCAACAACTGCAAACAGATAATAATAAGATCCAATCTTCTATGTTTTACACACCACAATTATTAGTAATAATTTAATCATCGAAAATAATAATAATAATAATGATAATAATAACAATAACAATAATAATAATAATAATTATTATTATAGTAATTACAATGATAATATTAATGATAATAATATTGATAATAATAGTAATAATAATAATGATAATAATAGTAATAATAATAATAATAATAATGGTAATAATAATAATAATAATAATAATAATAATAATAATAATAATAATAATAATAATAATAATAATAGCAATGTTAATAATGGGATAGAGGGTGTACACTTCCCTCGTGACTCACTGGAGCAGAGGAAGATAGAACTATCGCTAACATTACATAAACACCATCCCACATCATCACTCACCACCACCATTTTCATCATTGCTCTCAGATCCTTGACATACATCTCTGTTGCTTGAATCTTTATCTGTAAAAGTTACATGTTATAATAAGTATGTACCCAATACACTGACTTACTTACTTGTCCACTGTGTTGGGGGCACTACAGTCGGAACATGTCCATCTCTGCTCTCCCCCTCTCTTCAGGATCCATTCCAGAGTCTGTCTGCTTATAGCGCAATACACTATTGGATATTATCATGCGCACCTTTTTCTGCTTATCAGATCGCGTCAATTTCATATGATGGACAAGGGACAAAAATGATAGTTATGGCAATAATGATGAAGGTAATAATAATGATGATAATGATTATAATATAATAATAATAATAATAATAATAATAATAATAATAATAATAATAATAATAATAATAATAATAATAATAATACACGGTCAACAAAATTCCTGTTACAGCTTTTACAGAAAACTCTACAGCATTACAAGAAAAGTTGCAGAATACAATCTTCATAAAAAAAAGATAAATAGCTCGGAAAAAAATGGGCAGTGCCGAGAAAGTGAGCAGTAACAAGGAAATGAGATCGTCGCACTCGGACATAATCGTCTGGGTTTGGTTGGGTTTATCTTTCTGGGCCGCCACCTTGAATATAAAAGGAACAGATCTCTGGGTGTTGGTCAAAAAAGTATATCCGGTACGTCTTGCCAGTCGTGAAATCGTATCCGCAAATCCTTTCCCAAAATAGGAGGATACAGCAGAGACGATGAGGCAAAAAAGTGTGACCAATCCAGGCTTCTCTCTCCTTTCTCCCAATTCCTACCGATCTAACAGCCGGGAGCAAGGTGGTTTCTGGTAACTTTGCTTTTCGCTGAAAGTCGAACTTGCTTCAGACTAATGATCGAGACGTATGGAATCAACCGGTGTTTATCGATCCAAGTGTCCTCAATAACTTGAACTCCATCAGGCGTACATTGATTAATGTGAAACCTCATAAGGAAAAAAAGAGGCAGGGTTGCCCCATGGGTTCTTCTTCCGAAAGTGGAAGCGTGCTCAGAATAATATGTGGGTTCAGGTCATGATTTAGACTTCACAAGTTACAGTCGAAACACTTCCTCCGGCATTAGTTAGAAAGTTCGTTTTCTGCAGTTTAAAATCACTTACACATTGCACGCTCTAACCATTCCTCCTATTTCTGACTGTCCTGATGGAATCTCCGAAGTCTGAGTCCTTGAATCACGGCGTTTGAGAAATATGCAAACAAAAGGTGATCAGTTGGATTGGAAGATGGCACTGAGAGGTCTTACATCTTTTTCATCGTTTGTTGTTTCGTTTTGTTTGTCTTGCTTTTTTTTTCCTGCGCATGATGCCTATTGTCTTGTCAATTCGCTTTTAGGGGGAAAAAACTATAACGAAAACCAGAGGTTAAGATCCAGCTTAATAATTATGATGTTTGCATTTTGTAATAATTTAACATTATTATCAAGAATTATTTGCATCAAATAGGCTTATTTTGCGGAACGCTTTCTTATAATACTAGAGAAAACAAAAGGCACAGACAGCTTGGCGGACAGTTGAGTTCAAAGACGGCAAACAAGGTGAATCGTTTTGCTCTAGTGGAGTCAAACATTGCTTCCCTTACATCCTGAAATACTTTTTCTCAGCTCTGCGTACATACCGTATGCGACTGAAATCACGAGTCTTGTGTGTTAATAAAATGGACATGCTTTAAATATAAATGAAATCCACAAAAGATTTCAGTGCAACCTTAAACGTAAAGTCGGTGAGCGTGAGGAAAACCGAACAAAATCTTTCAACTAAAAATTTCGAGAATCTCATCAGCATCCCATTTCATTCGCTTCAAAAAAAGGTTTCAGTATCCTGCACAAAAAGTTATATCTGATGTGTCTCTCTCATATTTCTATCCAGAGGCCCTCTAAGTTTGTTAGGGTCACCAAACACAAACGAGGAAACATTTTTCAAATATCAAAGTTACTTCAGTAAAGAAAAGAAACAATTCTAAATTATTGCAGCACAGGCCTATTCTTAAACATGACATAAATTAAGAGAAAGATTCAAAAGGAGAGTTGTTTGAGTTTTCAGTCTAACTCTGTGACAAAGCCAAGCCAAGAGCGATATTTAGGCAATGGACAACAAAAACTACATGTAGTTTTATGAACATAACACATTTGGCCTACAACAGTCATTATCCCAATGGTTTTGACCTTGACTATTATATGAATTGAGACTAAATGTATGATAATAAACAGCTCTTTAATATATATATATATATATATATATATATATATATATATATATATACGTTATTCACAACAGAGCGAAGTGCATTGTGCGATTTGAAGGCTCCTATTTCACATCACATAATAAACTGCAATGATTCAGAGAGTTGTCATCCGACGAAAAACCATTTTTGTTGCCAAACATCCTCAATACTTGTACACCCTCTCATTTGTGTCTAAGACTTACTGAACACTGCCAGCAATTACAATAATCATATTATGTTGTACTGAAATAAACTGTGTTGTTGTTGCAGGCGCGGAAGACAGTTCACCAAGTTTTTGTTTCCAGTATAACTATATTTTACACGTTCAAAACGGCTGTGAAATTAAATTCCGATTTAAAGAAAACAAAACAAAAATGTTGTTGGCGAAATGCGCACAACTTACTTTCTGGACAATTGCGACACAAGTCAAGTCGTAGGAGTGTACCGAAAGTCCGCTGTAAAATATAGCTCTAGATAACAAACGAAGACAACTCCCTTTTATTGATTGAGAAAACAATATGAAGCATTAGATCTAGGTCGGGTAAACACTCTTAAGTCAATGCTCTTATTTATGTAGCTTTTCTTTCCTGTCGAAGCCGGGGTACAATCGGGCTAGGCTTCCGGTCTGTTCCGCCATCAACAGGGTCGTTAATGTCGAGATGTCAACGAGCACTAAACCATTTTTTGCTGAGTTCATTTCGGTTCGGATTCTTTCCTTTTGGAAAGCAAATAAGGATGTTTTACCGTGCCCGACTTTTCTTTTTTACTAGCTCCTTTTCATCTTGTCTGCAAGACAGAAACGCGGCTTAATGAAGTCTGTTGAAGATCGGGAGTTATAATCTCACTTCCAAAGGCTACATCTTGTCTCTAGAGATACTCGCTAAGCGTGTACAGCTGATTATTTACTTGAACTTCAGAGTGAAATGTGAATTAGACACGTACTTTATATCCCTTCTCCCACAACATCGAAATTGGTGACAATGAGGCAGGGGTCACGATAGGGGATAGAAAAGGCACTTCGACAATAGCCAAAGATTTTATATCCAATACAAATGGCATAGTTACTCAGTGTTTTGTCTTCTGGCATATATATGTGGTGAGGGTGGCTTGGCTTTTATCTTCTTTACTCAAAAGACCTGATTTGGATTTCTGCATGGGAATGTGTTTTATAAAGTATCTACATTAAAAAAATATCTCCGCTACGATGCTATTTCTAACGAAGACAGGAATAGAATGGCCCTGACAGCCAGGAATAAAGCAGCCCGCCTACTAGACGATCTATGTTATGTCGATAAGTGTGTATAGTACCTGCAGTTCTTGCCATCAATATTAAACTATTTATGCTGCCAGGCTCTTTATCAAATGTGAGGCAGTGTGGTGGAATCAGGCTCTCGTCAATTTTTGGGCATGTAGAGTTATTGGTATCATCCTAAAGCTTGTTCACTTGTTTTTATTTGGATGAAAAAATATAAATTTATCTTAAATACAAGTCGAGATATTTGCGAAAGAAGGAGATGGGGGTCACTTGTTTTCAGAAGTAAAATTAGTGAGAAAATGGCCGCCAAAGATTAGTTATTTCCTCAGCTTAAGAATCCATGGTAACTGAAAAATAACATTTTTTGTGCCTTTATTCAACGTTTTTCAGAAAAAAATCCACACAGAAATGAGTTCTTTAATGGACATGAAAGGTGTTGAGCCCAAAAAAAAAATTTGATAAAAATTCACGACCTGCGGTAAAAAGCAAGTTTCTTCACTTTAATTATTTTGACGTGAGCCTGATTCCACCACGCTGCCTCACAAATGATTGTGACTTTTACTTCTCTCAGTTCTTTCAGTTCTCTCACCGCCCGTTCTATGTTGTTTCTAAGGGGAAAGGTTGCTTTTTAACCCCCATTTGTGGCTTACATAAGTTGCTATCCTCGTTTTATTTCATCGAACTAGAAAGTACCAACCACACATACACACATACACACACAAACAAATATGCCACACATACACACATATGGACACACATATGAACACACAGACACACACACACACACACACACACACACACACACGCACACACACACGGGCATGCACACACACACACACACACACACACACACACACACACTCACATACACACACACACACACACCTGTGCACTGGTGCACTGTGCAAAAGCAAACACACAAACACACACGGTGAAGTAAGGATAAAGAGTCAGGGGCAAGTTAATCTTGTCCTCGAAGCTTAGTTAATTTCATATTTTAAACGCACCTTTTTTTATAGCATAGGTTTTGTATAACATGGGTCTTACCGTTATTTATGTGTCTTTTATAAAGACCATAGCAAGCCCAAGGACATAACTTCTACGTTGTTCAAAATGAGGAACAACCCCCCCCAACCCCTCCAGGGTAACACCAGTTGTCTGAATTGCTATGTCCTTTGTCAATCTGTCTTTGACATCGATCGGACAACCAATGGTTTGTTCAGGCAAGAAAACAGCATTGAACCGTGGGATAGTAACTATTTATACGTAACATAATACGTCTATAAAAAAACCCACAAATAAAAGATGCAGAGAATGGTTAAGCGACGCTACTGGTGGGTCCTACTTCACTATTTTCTATTTATTGTTTTTGTCTCTGTATCTCTTTTTTCTCTGTGTACCACGCGACCGCCATGGCATATATACTAATCTATAATTGAACATAGCAAAATATATATTAAAACATTTAAGACCCAGCTTGTTGGAGGCATGTTCATAACAATATCTTTTGTAAAATAATTAACTAATCTTTTCTAGTTTGCTTTTGTTAAGAGATTAACGACACTTGCAATTGATCTTTGGAATACCTGATAACATACACACAGAGAGTACTAATCGCTTAGGAAAAACATTTCCCTAAACGAAATAAGGGTAGCCAATCCCCGGGGCAAGATACGTAAATCAGTTATGTTCTGTTTTACGAATCTGTGCCTCTCTTTGCGAACAGCTGTGTGCGGGCGGGAGGGGTGGTGAGGTACCTCAAGCAAAGGTTCACTCAATAACTGTTTGTTTTGAATGTTTGGTCGATTTGAAATTAACGCAACGTTTGCTCGTCTTTACTATATCTAGCTATGAATTATTTTTGTTACATCTTGCACCTCTTGCCTTCTATCTGATCCCGCAAGTATATAATATATACATATTACATTTATTCCAGGAAACGTATTTCGAAGTAGACTGCCAAAAAATAAGGGTATAGCCCGCGGTATTTCAGTACTTAAGCACCAGCACCTGCGAACACACACTCTGTTGAGAGGTTTCTTTAATCAAGGTAGAGGAAACGAACAGAGGAAGTAACCTAAATCGTTGACCTGGGCCAACTGAGGTGTAACCAAAAAAGGCAACAGAATTATCTTAATGAGTGTTCTTGTGATCGATAACTGCGAAATACGGAAACCTCTGTTTAGCATTGTGAAATAATATATATATATATATAT